TAACCTTTATTGGGGCCAGTATGTGGCATGATGGTTAAGGCAATGGACTTCCACATGGCTTATCACAGTTCTGGGCCCAGCAGCTTGAAAATTGCTCTGGGCGCACGTGCCCAAAATCCTGAGAGGAGAGTGGAGGAAAAGGGATTCCAGTGTGGCCATCCCCCCCTCCCGGGGGGGAGGTGATTCCTCGCATTCTGTCTCTCCATCTCTCTGTCTCAGAATGAAAAGATTATTAAATTCACTTATAGTCAGGGAAATAAACATTTTAAAAGTAGAAGTGATGATGAGATGTAACTTTACACTCATCAAAGTGACAAAAAATAAAAAATATCAATAAGTCATTGACAAGCATGAGAAACACCTGTTAAATTTCAAAGTACAAATGCATTTAATCTGTCACCCCAGCAATCCCATTTTGGGATTATATTCCATAGAAATATAAGCTCTGTTGAAAAGAACATTTGTTTTAAGAATTATTTATTGCAATATTTTTATAGTGGCAAAAACCAAAAAACAACACAACGACCTTCGGAAACAAATGAATACCCATCATAAGAGTAAATGACGGACTAGCAGATAGTGTGGTGTTTTAAGGCACTGGACTGCCACATAGCTGACTATGGTTCGTGTCCCGGACCTGGCAGCTTCCTTTCTCACTTTCTCTCTCTCTCTGTACAAATTTAAAAAAACATAATAATAAATTAAATAATTCCTTAAAAATATATATGTACATGATTGTTACGTGGACTCTATAGGATTGCTGACGTGAGGGAGGTGGGAGTCCAACAGAAAAGAGCAAGAGAAACAACTGAAAAAGATACATCTGTATAGTTATATGTTTCTACACTGTTATGTGTGGGTATAGACCTAAGTAAATATGTTTTTTAAAGATTGTAAAACGGCATGTGATTAAAATGATTATATCTGAAACCATAGGCTTAGCCGGGACAAATGTCACCTTCTTCCTGTGCCCTGCATTTACCTGTAACCACATTTAGCTGGCAAAATGACCTCAGATATGGCCACCTTTTGTTCCCTCTCCATTTACATACCTAATCGAAGTGAAAGACCCCAGAACTCTAAAGGGATGGACCTGTTTGGGTGGCTCAGAAGATTCTATGAGTGAGAGTGCAGTGATGTGGCACAGTCATCTCCAAGTAGGAGACAACGCAGAGACAAAACCCCTGGGTCATCCTTCATAGAAGCGACAGCAGACCAGGGGTGACAGAATGTCTGCCAGTGTGCAGTCATTACGGTTCTTATGAATCACATCAAAATGGAACCGCCCACATCTTCATCCAACACAATGCTGCTGCTTTTTTTTTTTTTTTCCTCCATAAACTACAGAGAAGCAAGTCAAAAAGTAAGTATTCCTTTTTGGAATAAAGTAATACCCCAATTTCCCAGAGTTGTATCAACATGGTTTTGAATGTGGGAATCCCTTGAAACGCCCAGTCTGGGTGTTTCAATGAGGGGAACAGATAGTCTAGTTTTGGGTGGTGATGAATTCACTCCAACAGTCATGCCCACATTAAAGAGTAAAAGAGTTGACTTTCAGTTAACAGGACAGTGACATTTCATAATCCAAACCACACTTTGTGCTCTGTGGAAGCGGTCACTGCTGTGTTATCAGAAGGTTGTTAGTGTCACAAACTCTTGGTTGTTGGGGACAGCAAGAAAAGCTTAGTTCTTACTCTGGATGGTTTCTTATCCCAGGCTTACCCAGCAGGCCTTAGAACAGATCAAGATGCTCATGTTATGTATCGTTGGTAACAGTGCTTTTCAAAAAAACATGAGAGTTCACTGTTGGAATAAAAATCATACTTTGACCATTCCTAGACTTCAGCTATGGTTGGCTTTAAAAAAAAAAAAGAATTATTTAATCTATTATTATTATTTTTAAATTTTTGCTATAAGGCATGTGTGCTTACCGTAGAGAGACAGAGAAACAGAGAGAGAGAGAGAGAGAAAGCCTCCAGCTCCAGGACTCGAACTGTGATTGGCCATGTGAGAGTCCAGTGCCATATAATATAATCTCATTGATTCACAGTTGGTGACTGTAGAACTATGACAATGCATTAAATATTGTTGTCCCTGAGAATACTATCAGTTGAATTGTAAGATGTTTTTGTAGAGGGCATGGATTAGGTAAAGGAGAAAGTCCAATATTTAATTCCTTAGGTGGGAAGATGTGAAATAATGCCAATGTTTTTTTTTACCAAATAACCTTGGCAGTATTACTATGAAAGTACTCAATGGAGTTTTTCATGTTCCTTCTTGTAAATAATATGATACTCTTTTGAGTAACCCATTTTTTTAAAGCTAGTAAGGTTCTGATTGTTATGAGGAATTTTATTAGATATGTATTTGTTCATATATTTGCAGGAAAAGCCAACAAAGGCTTTATCTTTATGTTTTTCATTTCCTACCTTACCCATTTTATTTCTAGACATAGATTTTATTAGGATCGGCTTTATAAAAATTAATAATTTTAGGGCCAGGCAGTGGCTCGATGGTTAAGGTGGCTAGATCCCATGTGGTGACCAACTACGCAGTTCAAGTCCCGGACCCATTGGCTTGAAAAACATACCAGGTACATGTATGTGCATGCCCAAAAATATCCCAAGAAGAGAATGGAGAAGGGATTGCAGTGTGACCATTCCCCTGGGGGTGATTTCTCATTCCCCCCCACCTCCTCCCTCTTTCTCTCTGTCTCTCTTAGGCAAGCACATGTGACCTGTAGCAAAAAGCTAAAAAAAAAAAAAAAATTGAGATATAATTTACTTACAATAAATATTACTCACTTTTTTTTAAAGAGAGGCTTTTGCTATAAGGCATGTGCGCTCACCGGACAGACAGAGACAGAAAGCAAGAAATCACCCCCCAGCGGGGGATAGCCACGACGCAGTCCCTTTTCCTCCATTCTCCTCTCGGGATTTGGGCATGCATGCACACGTGCCCAGCTTAAGTTTCAAGGGTCTGGGACTCAAACCACGGTCAGCCATGTGAGAGTCAGGAAGGTAACCGTTATGACTTCTGCTGGTCCCACAACATTGCTATTTAAAGCTCAGTGGTAGTATACTGCTCTGTGATGCTGGAAGCCATATGGAAGATCAGGGTTCAGTTCCAGGTTGGCCTGTACATGCCAGTGCATGCCTGTGGCTCTGGCTGACTGAGAAGGCTCAGTGTGGGATGGCAGATTGTGGTGTGAGACCCTCTTAAGGGTGCTTGTCTTCTCTCTCTTATGAAAGAAAAGAATAAACTTTTTAAACCATACACCTGTTTAAAATGTACGAGTGAATGGTTTTTAGTATATTCACTGTGCATTTAGCTGTGCATCCATTACCACAACCAATTTTGGAGCATTTCCATCTGAGAAGGCTCAGTGTGGGATGGCAGATTGTGGTGTGAGACCCTCTTAAGGGTGCTTGTCTTCTCTCTCTTATGAAAGAAAAGAATAAACTTTTTAAACCATACACCTGTTTAAAATGTACGAGTGAATGGTTTTTAGTATATTCACTGTGCATTTAGCTGTGCATCCATTACCACAACCAATTTTGGAGCATTTCCATCATCTGCAAAAGATAAAAACAACCTATTGGCAGCCATTCGCTCCCTGACTCCATCTCCATCCCAGCCACAGCCCCCCCCCCCCCAGCCACAGCAACCACTAATCCGCTTTCTGTCTCTATAGATTTGCCCCTTCTGGACATTTCATACAAGCTCAATCTAAAATACTGGCTTTTGATAACAGGCAGCTTTCACTTAACATAATGTTTTCAAGGTTCAGCCATGATGGAGCACGTACTAATGTTTCTTTTTCGTTGCTAAATTACATTCCGTAGTTTGCGTAGCCCACGTTTTGTTTTTACATTCATCAGTTGATATGTATTTGGCTTGTTTTTACTTTTTGGCTTTTATGAATAGTGCTGCTGTGAACATCTGTGTACAGTTATTTTTTTAATAATTATTTACCTAAGTTTTATTTCTTCATTTATTTCAGTTTGACTAGATACACACACACACACACACACACACACACACACACACACACACAGCGAGCAAGACAAAGTGAGAAAGCAAGCCACCAGGTCCGGGACTTGAACCATGGTCAACCATGTGGGAGTGTCCAACAGTGCCTTAACCACCATGCCACCTGCTGGTCCCATGTATACAGTTCTTTTGTGTGAAGGTCTGGTTTTTATTGACCAAGCTGCCCTTTTAAAAAGCAGTGATACCATAGCTAAGTAGGACTCCCACATGTCCTCTTGCTTAGCACTTTCTGTTCAGGCACATGAAGACAAGATGTTGAGGCCCAGATAGGGAAGGTGGCTTCCCTAGGCTTACAGAGCTGGAAAGCAGAGCAGCCTGCATCTAGGTGTCTTGCTCTCAAGTTAAGAGGGAAAGTGAGAAAGTAAGCTGCCAGGTCCCGGACACGAACTACGGTCGGCCATGTGGAAATCCAGTGCCTTAACCACCATGCCACCTGCGGCTCCCAGGTGCGATGTTTTACCAGTTGATTTGGAAACTGAAGGCTGAAGATGAACTAGAAACTGAAATGTGCAGCTCTGTAAGAGCTTCACAAGCTTTTTCTGTTTACTCTTTCTTCTTTTTGTCACAACAGTGTGGTCTGGTCTGAAAGTAAAAGAACATAAAAGAAGGTTCCTTAGAGATTGTTTAGTCCCACCTTGTTAAACACGTGAGGAAACGGAGACTCAGAGTGATGTGGCTTCTTGCCCAAATGACACTGTTAGTGGTGGGGTGAGGACTGGAGCACTAGCGTCTCTCCTCCTTATCCCAAATCCCCAGCTGCCGCATTAAGGCAAGCATTTGTTGTACAGGAGCTGTGTGAAGAGTGGTGCTGAGCCATTTCATGTCTCTTCTCCAACAGAATCCCGTCACAGGGCTGCTGTCAGCCAGCCATGAGCAGAAGGATGCTTGGGTGCGGGACAACATCTACAGCATCCTGGCCGTGTGGGGCCTCGGCATGGCCTACCGCAAGAATGCTGATCGCGACGAGGACAAGGCCAAGGCCTACGAGTTGGAACAGGTGATGGTGACGGCCGCTGGCCCTTGGCTGCTCAGCTCTGTTTGCACAAACTGAACAACCACGAGGAAGGATCTGTGTGTGCAAAACTGTTCGGGCACAGGCTTTCTCCATTTCTGCTATAGAATATTTTGGGGGGCTGCTCAGGTGGTCTCAACCATCTTTCTTTTAAGTGCTTCCTTTCTGTTTGAGATTTTGCCCTCCATAAAACAGTAACAACAGAAATCACCATGTAGGAGATGAAAGCATCTGAATTTCTACCCCAAAGTGTTGACTTGCCTCACTAGCTACAGTTCTCTCACACGTGCTCTATTAATTTTGTACATATTTCTATATAGGACCTCATTATAAACTAATATTATTCTGAAAAAGAATTATTTAACTTTATTTTTCTTTATTTATTTGACCAGAGAGGGACAGAGTAAGAAAGAGAGGGAAAGTGAGAAAGCAAGCCGTCAGGTCTAGGACTTGAACCGTGGTTGGCCATGTGGGAGTCCAGCGTCCTTAACCACCATGCCACCTGCTGGCCCCAACTAATAAAATTATTTTTAAACAGTGGACACATCCAGTTACCCATTCCAAAGTGTGTACTTGTCAGAGTAGTTATTTTGAAAGAATATCCAGATCCTGTTGTTGTTGCCTAAAATGTGTTTGAGACTTCACTTCAAAATGCTTTCCTAGGGTGGCCAGCAGGTGATGTACTGGTTAAGTCACTGAACTCACCGTGGTCAACTGAAGTTTGAGTTCCAGACTTGACAGATTAAAGGTCATGCCAGGCACGTGTGCATATGTGCCCAAAGTCCTTAAAGAAGTATGGAGAAGGGATTACAGTGTGGCCATCCCCCTTGCAGGGGGCTGATTTCTCACTTTCCCTCTCCCTGTCTCCCTTCAGCGAGTGCATACACCCTATGGCACAAACCTTTAAAAAAAAAAAAAAAACTTTTCCAGTTTGAGTCATTCCAGGAAAGTAGTCTTATTTATTTATGGGCACCACTTAATTTTGAACTGAATTAGTGTTATCCAGTTTTCATGCTTATGTTACTTAGCATCCAGCATAATAGAGTCCTTGGGTTGTTGGCTACGTTGACATTCAATACCCCATTTTCCATTTGTGAAGTTGTTTTATAGTTTTTTGTTTGTTTTAAGGTTTTTGCCATAGGATATATGCACTCGCCCAAGAGAGACAGAGAGAGACAGTGAGAGGGAAAGTGAGAAATCACCCCTAGGAGGAATGACCACACCACAATCCTTCTATATTCTCCTTCTGGGACTTTGGACATGCACACATACATACCCAGTTTGCGTTTCAAGCCACCAGGTCTGAAACTTGAGGCAAGGTTGACCGTGTGGGAGTCCAGCTCCTTAACCACAGCGACACCTGCTGGTCTCAGTTTCATAGTGTTTTTGATAGAACACCTTAGGGCCTGTCTTTAAATGGGCCTGATTGTGGAGGAATGAGCGGTACCATCATGGACTGGTTGAGAGCTCCAGCTCTGGAGTCTGACCTCCTGGGCTCTGTCCTTGGTCCACCGCTTGCCAGCTGGTGACCTTAACAGTATTTCCTCATCCCTGTCAGTGTCAGGTTTCTTGTCTGTAAAGTGAGGTAATAACACCAACCACCTCATAAGGCTGGTGCAAGAATTGGAGAGAACCCAAGTGAAGTGTTTTGCACAATGCCCGGCTGTAGTGTCTACTAGATGGCTGTGGTATTATTGCTGTTTATGACAGTGATGATAGTACATCATATTATTAAGAAACCTTGGCTGTCACTTGGGTTTTATAAAAACTTCACTCAACAGTCCAGCAATGGCGTCACAAGTGGCCGTTGTGGCAAAACATTACCTTTGGGCAGGTGTGGTGGACTTAATTCATCCTTAGTATAATAAAACTAAATTACTAATGATGTGACACAAAACTCAAGTATGAGGCTTATAGAAATGGTGTTGCTAAAATAAAATGCCAGTGAGGAGTCATTGAGTTTCAGAGCTGGAAAATGCCATCTGATCCAGCCCCTTATTTGGCATTCATCACATGGTCTGAGTTTACTTATTCTCTGTGATGGAGAGAAGGGGGGATAAGACAAACCATCAGGACACTCCTGTGTGCTTGGGGCTATCTTTTCAGGGCAGAGATAGAGGGAAAGAGGTAGAGGGGGCGAGGAGGAAAGCATCTGTTTAAATTCCAGCTCCTTGTGTCCTAGTGTTGAGAGGAAAAGAGCAACGATGTGTGTGAACGTGCTGACTGAGGGTGGGACGGCAACGTCTTCACCGCTGACTATGTGCGTCCTGGTGTCCTGTGCTGTGTTCCAACTACCCCTCACTGAGAATACCAGCCGCAGTAATGGCAGATCTTAAAACCAGGCATTTCATCCTAAAGGAAGACATACCGTTATAAACCTGACAGAACAAACAAGAGCATATGGCTTTCTAGCACTGGCTTGTGGGCTGCGTGGTGGGAGGAGCTGCTCAGTGGGGCGGGAAAGCCGGGCCTTGCTACTGACTCCTCTTTTTCTGCAGAACGTGGTGAAGTTGATGCGCGGTCTCCTCCAGTGCATGATGAGACAGGTAGGTGCTTCCGAGTGGGCATTCCACGTCATTGTCACTGTGATGGGGAGCATGCTTAAAGTGCTTTGAGCTGTTCTTTTTAAAAATAAGAGAGGTCAAAAATATTTTTGTACTTTCTCTTTTTGAAATTATCTTCAATAATTTTATTATACTATAGAACTCATCTCTAAGGACACTTCTGCGTGTGGGGGTTTTATTTTCTAACTGGGATCTGTTTTTTTTTTTTTTTTTTTAGACAGGGTCTCACTCTGTCACTGTCCTCCTCAGCCTCTCAAGTCACTGGGACCACAGCCATGTGCCACTGTACCCAACCTGCCTCCAGTGTTGCTTGTCCCCACCCTGCCTCCAGTGTTGCTTCAGCCTGCCGAGTGGCAGTGCATGCTACTGAAGCTAGGTTGCCTTTTTTTCCCCTATAGCGAAGGAAAAAATTTTTAAAGCCACTCCCAAATGGGCCAGCCCCATAGCCCAGTGGTTAAATGCTATGCATGGGTAACCATATTCCACATGGCTGACCATGGTTCAAATCCCAGCCCAGTGGCTTGGAAAACATACTGGAGTGTGTGCATGCTTGCCTCAAATCCTGACAGGATGGAGACATGGGATGGAGGAAAAGAGATTACAGCATGACATGCCCCATTGAGGGATGCTTTCTCTTTTCCCTTTCTCTCTTTCTCCTACCCCACCCCCCATAAGTTCACATGCTCTCTGCCAATTTAAAAAGAGAAGTCTTTCCTAGAGAGCCATGTGTTCTTGTTTATGTTGTCAGGTTTGTAACAGGCTATATTTTCCTTTAGGATGAAATGCTTGTTTTTAAAACTTGATGTTACTATAGCTGGTGTTCTCGGTGAGGGGTAAATAGAACAGTTCATGGAGCATGACCAGCGCAAGACACCAAGACCCGCACGACACCAAGACCCACAACACCAAGACCCACACAAAGTCAGCGGTGAAGGTGCTGCAGTCCCACCCTCAGTCAGCACATTCACAGACATTGTTGCTCTTTTCCTTTCAATACTAGAACACAAGGAATTAAGTTGAGATTTTAACAGGTGCTCTTCCTCCCCCACAACCCCTTTCCCTCATCTCCCCTTGAATACCTACTATGTGCCACAGCTGGAGTTATGCAGACCAGGCCAGCCTTTGGCATGACCCCTTGCCCTACAGAGCTTAAGATCCTGCTGGGCTGGGGCATTCTGGTGGGTGGACGAGAAGAGTCCCCAGCACAGCCCTCTGTGGTGCTTACCAGCAGCTGCCTTCTATCCTTCTGGCTCCTGGAGTAGCAGATATGAGGTCTAGATCCAGGTGATTGGTCCTGGGTGTGACCTCTGCCAGCCATGAACTCCTCCTGTAGCTATGTGGTGCCAGCTTGCCTTCTCCCTCAGGTGGACAAAGTGGAGAAGTTCAAGCACACCCAGAGTACTAAGGACAGCCTGCACGCCAAGTACAACACTGCCACCTGCAGTACCGTGGTGGGCGATGACCAATGGGGCCACCTGCAGGTGGATGCCACCTCCCTCTTCCTCCTATTCCTGGCCCAGATGACTGCCTCAGGTAAGCCAGGACATCTGAGCCCTTTGCATAGGGAATGACAATCCAGAGAGGGGGAGGGAAAGGGCACAGGCATTGATCAGTGTCTTAGTCCGTTTGTGCCACTCTAACAAAATACCTGAGACTGGGCAATGTATAAAGAACCAAAATGTATTTCCTTACAGTTCTGGAAGCTGAGAAGTCCAAAATCAAGGCACCAGTAGGTTCAGTTGTCTGGTGAGGACTGTAAGGAGGAGAGGAATGCTATACCTCAGATGGCATAAGGCAGAGTGGCAAGAGAACTGCATGTGTGAAGCCTCTTTTGTAAGGCCCTTAATCCCTTAATCCTGCTCATGGAGTGGAGCTGTCATGGCCTAATCACTTTTCTTTTCTTTTTTTTTCAGTTTTTGCCGTAGGGTATATGTGCTTATTGGAGAGAGAAAGAGAGAGGGAAAGATAGAAATAAACCAATGGGGGATGGCCACACCACAGTCTCTTCTCCTTTATTCTCCTCTTGGGATTTCTGGCACACATGCACACATGCCTGGCATGATCATTAAGCCACCAGGTCCAGACTTGAACCGTGGTCGGCCATGTGGGAATCCAATGTGTCAACCACCATACTACCTGCTGGCTCCTCTAATCACTTTTTTTTTTAAGAGTTTTTTTTGCCATAGGGCATGTGCACTCTCAGGAGAAAGAGACACTGAGAGGGAAAGTGAGAAACCTCCCCCAGGGGAATGGCCATGCCACAATCCTATCTACATTTTCCTTTCAGGATCTTGGGCATGCACACACATGCACCTGGCATGATGTTCAAGCCAGCGGGTCCAGGACTCAAACTGCAGTCAGTCATTTGGGAGTCCAATGATGTAACCACTACACCATTCACTGACCCCTACTCTAATTACTTCCTAAAGGCTCCCCTTCTTAATTCCATCACATTGGCAACACCCAAATTTTGGAGGGGACATAATTCAAACCATAGCAATCAGTATTTTAGATGAACAATTTATACAAAGGAAAAGCATGCTTCTCTATGATATTGCATGCATTTGCCTTGGTGGTAGGGCAGGAAGTACAGGGGCCCTGTCTGTGGATAGGACAGTCAGCCCCCACCTGGGTGCTTGCAGGACAAGGACTGTCAAGCTGGCTCTGCTTGTTTCTGTTGCACCCACAGCTTCCTTCCTGTCGTGCTCATCTAGTTCCTGGAGCAGCCTAAGTTGGATCGAGCTTCGACAACTCAGTTATCTACAGACACTTTCTTGCCAGCTCTTTGACTTTTCTCCTCCAGGATTAGTACCCTGTCCCTTCAGCACTCCTTCTCTCTGCCCTGGTCACCTTCTAGACTCATACTAGAACTATATTGTCTCCACAGCTCCCAGCCTGCCTGGAGTGGGCTGACTAGCCTAAGCTGCCTAGGCAGTGAGTAGGCCCATGCTTTGCAGATAGTGTGGGTCCTTCCCGTGGAAGCCAGAGCTGCTGACTTCGATGGCTGCCCAGATACCAGGCTGGTGGTCCACGCTGCAGCCTGTCTTTGCACACCAAGTGGTCTCTGTCTTCTGCAGCAGTGTCTACTTCACACGATTCCCCAAATTAGGGCACTTAGTGGCTATGTCTCAGAGCTCTCTAATGTAATTTCTTATTTATGTCTTTGCAGGGTACAGTATAGTTTTTCAAAGCATGCTTTCAGTGTGTCGTAATCAAATCAAGGATATTTTATGTATTTAAAAATATATTTTAGGTCACGTTGTACACAGTGTTTTGTTACATAGCATTTTACTTAAGCATTTCCCATGATGTGTCAAGCTCTTCATAAATATTATTTTAGTGACTTTATCAATGGGTACACCAGAATTCATGTAACTAGTTCATGATTCTATATTTTTCTTTTTTCCTTTTATAACAATTGTTGCAATACCGATATATATATATATATATGTGTGTGTGTGTGTGTGTGTGTGTGCTATAGGGCACACTCGCCAGAGAGACAGAGAGAGATGGAGAGATAGAAAACGAGAAATCATCCCCCAGGGGGTATGGCCACGCCGCAATCCCTTCTCCTCCATTCTCCTCTTGGGATTTTGGGCACACATACACACACACCTGTGTGAATTTAAGCCACTGGGTCCAGGACTCAAACTGAGGTCGACTACATGGGAGTCCAGCGACATAGCCATTACGCTAACTGCTGGTCCCGCAATATGGATACTGACTCTATCTCTATTTCCTTCTGATAGCTAGATGTCATTCAAAGGCTATCTATATAGCCAAATTGTTTTCAGTTACTAGTTAAAATTAGCACTAAACTTCTAATGTAGCATACTAGTTAAACTTCCTTTGTTGACGTAAGATTATATATCTTATCATAGCCATATCACCCTCACGAATTCATACTTAAAAAATATGTTTGGAACTGGCCCATGGCACAGTTGTTAAAGAAGCCAGATCCCACCTGGCTGACTGTGGTTCAAATCCTGGCTCTGGCTTGTGTGTGTGTGTGTGTGTGTGTGTGTGTGCTTTCCCCAAATCCCGGCAGGACTAAGAAATGGAGAAAGTATTGTAGCATAACCACACTCCACTGGAGTGGGGAGGGATACCTTTTAAATCTCTGTCTGACAATCACATGTGCTAACTGGCTATTTATTTATTTGTTTGTTTTTGAGAGAGTGAGTTTTGCCATAAGGTGCATGTGCTTGCTGGAGATACAGAGAGAGAAAGTGAAAAATCACCCCCAAGGGAGGATGGTCACACTGTAATCCTATCTCCTCCCAGGATTTTTTTTTTAAGAGGTTTTCGCTATAGGGCGCGTGCGCTCACCAGACAGACAGAGCGAGACAGAGAGACAGAAACACCCCCCCACCCCCCGGGGGAATGGGCACGCCGCAATCCGTTCTCCTCCATTCTCCTCTCGGGATCTTGGGCACGCACACACACGCGCCTGGTGTGAGCTTAAGCCACCAGGTCCAGAACTTGAACCGTGGTTGACTACATGGGAGTCCAGCGACATAGCCATTATGCTAACTGCTAGTCCCGCCTCCCAGGATTTTGGGCACTCATGCACACACGCCCAGAATGAGTTTTCAGTCACCAGGTCTGGGACTCGAATGGTGATCGACCACATGGGAGTCCAGCACCTTAACCACCTGCTGGCCCCCCTAGCTGGGGATTTAAAAAAAAAAAATGTGTGTTTGACATAACTGACTATATTCTTAAGGGCCTAAGCAAAAGACCCAGCTTTCTTGGCCACTGCTTGCTTCAGTGGGTTGAACAGTGCCCTGGGAAGGTCCTGGGAGCTGGCCTTTCCCAGATGAAGGGCCAGCTCCTGAAGGAGGGGACTCTACTTCCCCTGTCAGCCCTTGGGGAACAGTGCCCACCCTTCTCGCCTTTGCCTTACTCAAGGATAAGGCCAGTGTCTCTGGTTCTTCTGGGCTGAAATCCTTGCTTTATCAGAAGCTTCTCTGCCCAAATCCACTGCGTGCCAGAGGCCCCACCCACCTCTTTCCACCCTTTCTACTCATTGGCACACACGCTACAATGGCACATTCTTTCCTTCCTCCTCCTCTCCTTCCCTGACTTCCTAACTTCCTTCTTTTCATCCTTCCTTTCTCTTTCCAAGCCTGGACATTGACTGCTGTGACTCACTTCAGACTTAATTTTTGATGCCCTAGTAAGAAAAGTGAAAACGAGGATTGAAAGATTTCTTATTGTGATATTTATAGGTTATAATGGGCAGCTCTATTCACAACGGAGCTCATAACCTCCTCTTTTTCTCTTTACTAGGCCTGCGTATCATTTTCACCCTCGATGAGGTGGCCTTCATACAAAATCTTGTGTTTTACATCGAGGCTGCATATAAAGTCGCAGTAAGTGTCAACCCTAACCCTTGTGGTCTTTTTAGGTGTGCCTGTCATTAAAAAGAATATGAATCATCACTGTCCATTGAGGGCCAAGCTCTTTGGGGCTGCCCAGAAGGTTAGTGAGTCTAGAGCTATACTGTCGTGTCACCTCTGCACACAAAGTGCACCTTTTTGTCCCGGGATGCAGTGGGGTTTCATGTTTTTTGTACTACATGCTCTGTCTGAATCCATTTTTTTTTTTTAAGAATTATTTAATTTATTTAATTACTTTATTTATTTAAATTTTTTTCTTTTGTAATTGAGATTTATTGGTTGTGTCAAGTACAGACATTTCAATTTGTACCCAATTCTTAACATACATACCAAAAATTTAAAAAGCCAAGTACAGTGATTCTTTTTAAGTTATTCCAGTGACATTCTAGCTTCAAATTTGTAGGCAAATTTTCCTTAAGAGGATATCAAGAACCACTGTCTTCAGATGTTGAAAGCTGTTATGTAAGTCCCACCAAATCACAATTTAGTATCATACAGACTACATACTTCAAATTTCCAATCTTTCACAGCACATTAACAGAATTATTAGGAAAACTGGACTACCACGACCAAAGATGTTACAGAGTGCACACAATTCTGACAGGGAGAGCTACAATCAAAGAATGGCTTTCTTTAGGAAACAATACTACTAAAAAACATAATAGAAGTCATTTAAAATATTCAAGACACATGAAATGCATGACTGTGACTCCAAACTGCCATTTAGTATGCTTTGTATTTAGGATATAAAAACTACCCACAAGGGAACCAGCAGTTGACGTAATGGCTATGTTGCTGGACTCCCACATAGTCGACCGCGGTTCGTGTCCTGGACCCGGTGGCTTGAAACTCACACCGGGCGCGT